GCAGTATGTATTCTAGCTTATTCTGTCATTTTATTTGTTATATGCAAAGTATTTCAAGTACAAAAGAATGAGATTTCAAAATTGTTAGGAATCATTTATAGAAAGGGTACAGAATCTATTCCATAATGTCTCACAATGCACTTAGTGAAAATGAAACTTTTAATATAGTCTTTTCAAAATATACAAGAAGTTGTAATTATTTTTAATTAATATTCTCTCAACAACCATCCAGTGCCTATGAGTCAAACATCCTGTTTCATGTGGAAGGTAACCATTCTTCTCAAGAAGAAGTAAAATTTTAAACTAAAATACCTGGCTTATCATATATAGGAATCTTTCTCTTTGCTATCTGAACATCATGGGAGAAAAAGGCAAACATTAATTCTCAGGAAGAGACGATCTGGGAATTGATCGCACAGCTATTTTTTCTTTCTGGGGGCACCATTCTTCAGTTGACTATGATACTTAAAGGGCCAAAGGTTAAAACTACTCCTCTGCAATTGAGACCATTTGGGGCATGCCACCCTGCCATAATCAATGAGTGTTTAAAAATGCTACCCATTTGTTTTTTCAATAGGTTCCAAACAAAAAACGTTCTATCTTGTTTGTGCTGCATGGCTGCATTCAAGCTCTACACTGGATTTGTAGCTAAGCTAGGTAATGGGAGGGGTTTTAATCTTTATCTTTTTTTTTTTTTTTTTGGTTAGTCTGGGCGTTTTCATTCAAGTAAACAAAAGATGGTCTATTTTTGAAAATTAACAATGCTTGGACTAGACTGAAAGTAGTGATTTCGTATTTTATTGAGTTACTAGCTCCATCATTGGCAACTTGAAAATGTGCCATGCCACCATGTTGAGTTATGATAATCAACATCTTTTTTGAAACAAAGATTTTTTTCCCCCAATGCAGAATTTGATACAAGCGGTAATCTGTTCCTTTGTGGGCTGAAAAAATCTGGTTTACGCTGGTTTGAACCAGTGGAATCTCTTGTGGTTAAGCCTTCTGCTGTGGCTAAAATCAAAACTGCACTGCAGCGCATGTGAGGGTTCATGCGCGCGCGCCTGTGTGTGTGAGTGTGTGAGGTGTGTCATGTGACCCCCAGAACTACCGATTTTTTTTTTAAAGCTGATAACGCCACTGCCGTCTCTGTCCGCATACAGATAACGAATAAATGCTGAACTCTATTAAACGCCCTTTACACATTATCGTGGGTCGAACACACAATTTTCTGAACTTATGATGACAGTCTATTTATTTCGCTATAAACCCTCAGCACGTAACGAACAGATTTGTGCCTGGTAATGATCTGCTCTGCCAGGGCTATATGAAATGATACCGACCTTTAGATCTTGGGGAATTAAATTGACCGACTTCACCCCCTGGTCTGTAGCTGAAGTTTGACACACTTTATGCACAGCAAGCCCAAATCGGAACTTAAGAGAACCTCGCGTTAAAAAATTAAGCAACCATATCTGCTAAATATTGCTTTACCACAAAAATTTTGGCACGTTTAGGAATATCCTACTCCTTAGACATATATTTGAACCTTCTATTTAGGATTTACTAAAATTTCGTTTACTCACATTTATTCACCAATCAATATAATTTTGCATACGGAAATTGAGAGACCATTAGGGTTCAAAAGTAGAGTCTGGAACATTTTATGTGCCCCATCATCATACTCCACTATGAAGGGGATTAGGGGACTGACTTATGTAAGATTTTTTTTTCCTTTCCTGAGAATGGTTTTCATGAAACTAAATCAAGGTAACAATCACTAAAGTTTCCACTCTAAATACAGCACTACTACATTTCAAAAACAACTCTCTCAAAGAATTAAAATCTTGCCAATATGGAATGGAAAACGTGGTATTTTAAAATAATAGAATGATAATGCCTAAGACAATAGTTCTTGGAAAGATGATGACCCAACAATACTCGAATGTGCAAAGTAGGTAATTTTGTCCCTTCTTTGAAAATGAGGGCTGAGCCATATTTGACAGCATGAAATGGATATGAATCAGAAATGAATTTATTCAAAGCAGTTAATTGGGAATTAAATGAAATTGTGTACTGTATGAGGGACATTAATGATGCACTTGAAAAATTCTTAATTGCTGAAATCTTGACATTTCTAATCATGTCAGAAAGGTTTATATAAGAGTAAATTAATATACTTTATAGTTAATTGACAGATTATGTGTCTAACAGGTTTTAGATGCCTAAAAAAATGCATTATATATGGCCAGAATGAGAAATAATAGCTATGGCATTCACATTTGTCTAAATCTCTACAAAGAAACCACTATAGGGAGGATGTGTATGTTGTATTGAAAATAACTAGTCAGTAGTTAATTTTACCTATTTGCAACCATTGCTATAATTCTTTATTATTTTCCTTTTTCTGATCTATAGTTTTTAAAAATTGAGATACATCCCAATTTCAATGAAACATATATTTTTGTCTCATTTTATTTATCTCCAAGTTCTCTCTGTATATTAAAAGTTTATCTTAAATATTTACATGGCTACAAAGTTCTGAAAGTCAATTTATCAACAATTAACTTGAAGATAATCTTAGTTGTGGGCAGGAAATATTTTCTTACACAAATTATAGATAATCCTACCCAGAAAAAAAAAAAAAAAACTATCTTCTCAGCCCCTGAGCTATAAAAATTAATATAAAGAGCCAACTTAAAATCTTTTCTTCCTTTAAAGAAAGGGCTTCTGTTTTGATTCCATAGTCTGAATGAATACTGATGCAGAATAAAGAGTTATTCTCAAGTGACCATGCCTGACTAAGGGATGTGTTTTAGTTTGAGGGATTTAAATCCCTAAATTATGATAAAAAGCCCCAAAACAAAATTTAATCATTTCATTATGGAATAGAAATTTTGTCATAGTTAGCAACAAAATATCCAAGAAGTTAAGTGTAGTCTTTTTGAACTTTCAAACCTAATTCGAATTTTGGACTGAAAAATTCACATAACTAATAATCTAACAGTTACACTGTCTCATGACTATAATTTATCATATTCTATTTATTGAAGTGACAGCTCCTTACAACTAAACTTCAGGTTCTCCAAGTACATTCAGAATTTGTAAGTTTGATTTATACAAGTCCAGAGGAAATCTGTGCATAATCACTTTAAAGTGACAGGAATATAATTTGAAAAATTCAGAAAATACGAACTCTATTTTTGCGGAATATTTTTCTTTAGGCATTAAAAAAAAATCATACTTATATGTACATGAGGCAAATGTTTTAGGCATATAAAATGCCCATTAAGAGAAGTGAACATGCTTTAAAAAAAAAAAAGGGATCCCTGTCAGAGTACTACAACATCTATTAGAATAAAGGAGTCTGAGTTAGACAGGAACACCCCTTCCTTTCTATTTCCTCTATATTAAGCAGTAGTTTCAAATGAAGGAAAGATCTATAGCTTTCTAGAGAATTGACATGGGAACTATGCATTCACTTTTTGCAAAAAAGAGAATGCTTTTTTTTTTGCAGTAAAGATATGAAATAAAATTATGATTCATTCAAGAGATATGAACAATCTAAATCTCACTTAAAATAGGAAGAAAATATTTTTTCTCTCATCCTCAAGTTATTTAATCTATTATGAGTAAAACCCTTTATCCCACCATCCTTTTATGTTTGATGTGCTCCTTATTTTTTTTTCCCTTAGCCGTTCTCACATTTCAATCAGGGAAGCTGAAATCCCAAGTCAAATCTTAACGTGTTTACATGTCTAAACTCAAGCAGATAACATCCAAATAGTGGATGAGGTGAGATCTTTCCAAAAACAAATATAGTCAGCTCAGTGATTCTTCTCCCCCCTCCTTTTTTTGGGTGGATGGATGGGGGCCTTAATCACATAAGCAACATCCCATTTACAATATTAACTTTACAGTAGATAGTAATATAGTTTCAGCATATGTAGACCTGTAATATAATCTGTTTGAAATGGTAAACATAATTATGCAAGTTTTATAATGTGTATCAATATATTATGTTTTACTATCTTATTAAAATTGTGGTTTACTCAATGAATGATTTCTGTTCATTTTTATTTAGGCAGAGTAGAGACCTTTACAATACTTGTCAAAGGAATATTAATAAACACATTTAGGTCTTGCTTCTGAAGTTCCCATCATTTATTTTCTCTAAAAGTGTCAAAGAGAGTAAGTCACTAGGGTTATTTGAGACATTTTAAAAGTCATCTCTAGACTGAGGTTCTTAAAACATTTTTTTAAGTCATATACATTATCTACAAGAATTAATGAAGTCTCCAGTATTAATTCAAAGAAAGAAGTGGGACATTAATTAGACTCATGCACTGCTGTGTGATCCAATGAGAACTGACAGCCAAGTTGTAAGGCCCTTTTAAGAAGAAACTATCTTATTTTTTGCCTATGCAGATCTTAAACTGTAGAAAGAATTTTCCTATTATTATTATTATTATTTGACAGAAGCAGGACCTCTATATGAGTATCTAAGTTCCACACTGGTGCTCACAATTTGCATTTTGGTGAATGTATTTTAAGAAGCTCCACAATGGGAGACTGAGCTGCCCTGTTGAATTTTGAAAGCTTACTTTCATTTGTTTTGCTGCAAGTGTTGATTTAATTATACCGCATTATTATCAAAGCTGCATTATGTACTTTTTTATTCCTTTTACATGTGTTTGAGGTGAAGACCTTGGCTTTGTCTGCAAACAGTGTGTTTCAAGTTATTCCTTAAGTACTAAATAATAAAGAAAAGAGAAGAAAAGATTTTTTAAAAGATAGCAGACAGTGATCACAAGGTAAAGGGTTAAATGTAAGATCTCCAAGAAACATTTTGAAGTTGATTAAGACTCCAGCTTTGCATTAAACAGTATCGTTTCCACATGAGTTGCTGCTAATACTGTTAAGGAGCAGCTTGAGAGCCCAGTGTGCCAGTGACCTCCTTCACCCTCCAGCCACCCACCGGGCCCTCCTGATTAGCATTCTACCTGGTTCTCTGAGGAATTCCCATCATCCCCTAGGAGCTCATTCCGTACTTCGTCACTGTAGGCGATCCGTGACCTTTTCTATAAAACAAAACAAAAAGGGAGAGAGCGAGATGAACGTTAGAAAGTAAAAGCTTCGGACCATTATTGGTATCAAGGCTGATCATCTCAAACCTCGAGAGCCCCCTAATGGAAACCTATTTGCTAAGATCTGCAAAGCAAAGTTGTGTAAAGTTCTTGAACTTGAGAAGTTTAATGTAAATTAGAAGTTTTTCAAATGCCAGTAATGAGGGAAAACTCTGCATTGTGTAAGTACTCCATTAATATTCACAAGTGGATCAGAACTGATATGTTATTCCATACATAGTCCACTCAAATAAGACCACTAAACTAGAGGAAATAAAGCTATATAAGCTGTCTACTGGCAAAAATCACCAGACTGTAATTAAGACAAGTGTATATGGGGATCTTTAAAATTGTGGCAGGAAATGAACTTTAGAATATAGGTCTTTTAAAATCGCTAATTCTAGGATAATATTCTGACTCCAACTGTACACTGGAATGCCTGGAAAATAGTTCATCTGTATTTCCTGCATTGTTGTGATGTTACTAGCCAGAAAGAGATGGAATCTAAAAGTCCATCCCATTCCAAACAATAACTTAAATGTCCCCAAGCCCTCCTCAAATAATGGCCTAAGGAAAAGTAATGTGTGTGTGTGTGTGTGTGTGAAAACAAATTAAATTTCCCAATCCCAATAAATAAAGGCAAGTGGGCTGAGTCAACCATTCTCAATCCCAGTAAATAAAGACAAGTGGGCTATGAGTCAACATTTCACTCAGCGAAATTTTGTTTTATAAGAAATCGACCTTGACCTGTCAAGTCAGAGGGATATGTGTCTATAAGCAATTCATGAATTATCTAAATGTATACACATCTGGAAAAGCTAAAAGGCTCTAAAAGTTAAGTTGTGAAGTTAAGAATGCCATCCTCAGATCCTCCTTCAGCATCACCCTCTCAGATCCAAATGCAGATTTACAGGTGACTTTGCTGCCTTTTTCTACTTCTGAACTAAGCAAAAAGAGTCCATTTAAAAATGGCAGCTGGGAAATAGTAATCTTGTCTCACTTGCAGGATACAGTTTAGGCTTTAACATTTCATACTTGTTCAACTATGATCTGAAAAATTATTGTAGTTTAAAAAGGACTATTCATAATCCTTGAGCAGAAGTCAACAAGATTTTTAATTAGATTTTTATATACTAGTAAGTTACACTGCTTTGCAACATAGAGGTCATAGTATCTTAAATGTGAAATCATACTAGAATTTAAAAGGACTTCTAACAAGAAAACCCAGTAGATTTTGAATCATTTTAAAGTTGCAGCCTTTCTCAATTGGGGTTCCTTATCTGAACCACAAAATGGAAAACTATTTTAGTGACTATTTTCTCAATCTATCTAGGATGGTACATAAGAGAGAGTTTAGTTCATTACATAGACTAAAAGCCTAAGGGCACTAGGGCTTAACTCTCCTGCAGAACCTAGTTGAAAAAGGCTGACTAGAGTGTAAATAAAAATAAACAAATCTAGACATCCCTTTATTTTTTTTTCAAAGAACAAATCATTCTCATGGAATTCTAAAGATCACTTTGGTTAAACTGAAACTAGAACCTGTACTCATTCTACCACACAAAATTTCCTCCCCATTACCCTCTGAATACACTCAGGAAAAAGATGCAAAAACTGCAAAATGTTTCAGTAGAAAGGAGATGATAGCATCCCTTCTCTGCCCTGAGTCTCTACCCTAAGCCTCCTTCTCTGCTGCAAGTGTATCTCTTGTACCTTAGCAAATGCAGTAAGTCTGTAAATAGATAAATAAAACCAACAACGCTGCAGAGGACAAAGTAGCAAAGTTAAGTCATTAGCCTGAGGTCAGTAATGACATCTATATCAGATGTCTTAACAATTCAGGAGCGAACCAACTCATTCAGTTGTGAACATGCCAGACTTCTTACCACAACAAACAGCATATATTAAGCCTGCTTCTCTTATTGTATTTACTGAAGCTACTATTAATTATTTCTATAGACTTCATGCAGAATTGTATTGAAAAATGCTAAACTGCAAGGTCAGTATACCTCATGGCCTTACAACAATATTTAGATCAAGCCAAACCTTTCTTTTGCCCATTTGGAGATCCCCACTACAGTAGTTTCAAACTAGCTAAGCAAAAGTATTTTACAGCATTAAAGGAAATGAGAACCTTTAAACAGGCTGTGGTATCAGAGCTGCCTTTTTAATTATTCATTTCATCACTATGGGGGACTAAAACATCCCACAGTATGCAAGAGTATCATATGGAGATTGTTTTTGTTTTCCCCCCTTTCACCAAAATACCAACAAATTGGCATAGATTGTTCAATTACATTATATTCTTATTTTGATTTACTAAACTTCAAAAGAAGAAGAAAATTATAAACATGTATCCCTAAATATCTACTCTTGTTTTGGTGAGAATCCATTGCTTTTGAAAACCAGCAATTAAGAGTGTACATGTTCAGCAACAGAGGAGAACTAAGGATTTATCCACAGTTGAAGGGTGGTCCCTATAAATGTCAGTCTTTACTACTGAGATGGTAAAATCTGGTCATTTGGATGGCTTTCTGGATGTAATTAAGCAAACGATATGCTGAGTTTATAAAATGTTCTCTGATTAAACTAACTTCTCTTAAAAGAATTTTAAAAAAGCTCATTTCAAATATCAGAAATAGTTCTTCTTGAAAATGATGCAACTGATGCAGAAAATCGAGCTCTTTACACTGGAGTATCATTTTACATTTTTTTAAAAAACATCAAGACTTTGTTTTATTGTTATATTTAAATGCCTGACATTGGTATTTTCTCCTAATTTTTTTGTGGTTTGAAATTTTAAATAAGCTGATTGTAATCAGCTATAATTTAGCCTGCAGGATCATCACTAAACTGACTGAATTCCAAAAAAGGCAAATTCCTCTGAATGATAAACTGCTTATTTTATTGATAATTTCCCTCCAAAACATCAATAAATAATTTTACCTTTTGTGGAATTTTTAATAACCTCGCTCTCCATTACTAAGTACTATGTATATTTTAATTCAGATGACTCAAATTTAATGAAGCTGAAACATCAACTGTATCTTGATAAACTAACTAAAATATTTTTACTTTATCATCAACTGTATAAAATCTGTACTTTAGCCAAATGCAAGCATGAGAATTTGAGCTGGAAATGTCACACACTCAGCTACAGTTTGAAGGAACCCAATTCATAATGCATTTTATAAATAGTTAATGACTTCTATACATAAGCTAACCAGGCAAATCAAGAAATTGTCAACATTTTTAGTCTTAGTTGTCAGTTACCACTGTCTACTGGTGCTTTATATGTGGCTTCTGGAGAAGACAGAAAGTCTATGCAGTTTGTAATCTATTGCAATTTCAGGTCTGTACCATAAGGGTGGAAAGCTTCGACTGACAATATTTGCCACACACACACACACAGAGTTAAATACAAGAGCATTTCTCACTTTTAGTTGTGGGTTTGTGTAAAGCTTATTCCTTCTAACTTATACTAAACTTAAGTGGACTAGACACAGTTGGGCAGAAAAATCTACAGATCATATATGAATTATAGACAGAATATGGCAAATTAACAATTGACTGTTATCCCTAAAAAATTAGACACACAAAGTTCCAATGCCTATTTTAGACTGATGACAAAAGTGAGTCCTTCATTATGAAAATGAGGATTTCAGATTCCAAGCAGTTTTCACTTGGTATACGGATACTGATTGGCTGATTTTCAATACCGATTGGCTGATTTTCTTAAAGCCAAGTTCAATCAGATACACTTGCCCAGTTCTGTCTGGAAATTTGGCTTGAAACAATCTGTCTACTTGACCCAAGCCTTAATATTTCCCAACTGAACTGAAAAGGTTTCTGGATAGGCACTGCTAGACTACAAACAAGATGAATTAACTTAGCTGAAACTAATTAAGAACTGTGATCTGTGGTGCAGCCTTCTATATGATTCTACATGTGAAAGAGGGTACACATAGCCAGAATGAGGATTCTACAACCCACCACTCACATAAGCATAACAATGCAGTTGGTTTATTACTAAAGCATATATGAGAATTTAATTTCCACAGCGTGCACATGGCAAAGCAATTGCTTAAATTGCCTCACCTGGGAATTTAATACAATGTTATCATCAGACCAGCCACATTGTAAATAGATTTATAATGCTTTCCATGTGCTGCACTCTGTTGCATATGAATTAAGTAATGATCTGGTATTACAATAAAATCAGCTAGTTCCCACACCTGGCAGACAGGATATTTCACTAAATTAATACCCATACAGCTACATCACAAGGCACGGGAGAGGAAACCATCTCTAAGGCATTTGACTTGAGCTTTACATGGGAGGCAAACACTCCATGGCTATGTAGAATGTCACTATGTTGAATGGGTTGCTCAAGACAATCTGTTTCTAACATCTGTATCACAGAATTAAGACTTTCTCATTCCCATTCAATTTTGGCCTAATTTTCTTCATTCAGTACTTTAATTACTAATCAGCAATCCGCAACATTCACAAACACTAAGAAAGCCCTTTATTCTAATCTATGTGCTGCAGACAGCCAAATAATTGATACAAAGTGCAGTATGGTTTTGGTAAGTAATGAAAGAACAGCTTGTCTTACTCCCTAATCAAATTGGTCTATAGAAGAAATGGTTAATAGATTTCTCCATAGGTCTAAAACAAATTACCCAGTCTGGCCAGACTTTTCCATTGCTTCTACCATGTCTTTCAATCTCCATATATTTAATAATGCCCAAAGTTACCAGGTGATTAGAAACTGTTATGCTTTCATAGCCAAAGAATTTAACTGGTCTAAAGAATTTAACTGCTCCTGTTACAATTAACACTTAGGGATATCTTATAGAATACCATGAAATTATATTTATTAGCTAGTCATATAATCGCTGGCATTCATTCCTTACCGAATTCTAGCTGGTTTGAATTAAATAATATCATAC